TTTAAGCAATAAAATGTAACTTCATTAAATCAACCCTCGGACTCACATCTTTTCAGTATCTTTGATGGTGTAGGAAATATATGCAGTGAATTCAGCTATATTCTAAGATGTTGGTCTCAAGGAAAATAACTGTTTGACAGAACTAGCCTGATTGGACTGGTCATATGCCAACCAAACCTGGAGACAAGAATTCAACCCACAGATCTCATGAAAGGTGAAAGGAGAAAACTGGCTCCATGAAGTTACCCTCTGATCTTCACGAGTGCATCATGACATGTGCATCCACTTTTGTTACATATATACATCGTCATCGTCGTCGTCGTCGTCATCATAAATAATTAAACCTGCACTGCTACAACCATTTGCTTTTTGACAAAGATGCGAAAAACCTATCCTGGAGAAAAAATAGTATCTTCAACAGATAGTGCCGAGAAAACTGGATACCTGAATATAGAAGGGTGAGACTAGATCACTGTCTTTTTGTATAAAAATGAACTCTAAATGGATCAAATGGGTCAAAAACTTTAATGTAAGACCCCAAACTAAAACTTTTGGAGGGGAACTACTCCAAGATACAGATAGGCAAGGACAAAAAAAGAAGAAAAGAAAGAAAGAAAGAAAGAAAGAAAGAAAGAAAGAAAGAAAGAAGGAAGGAAGGAAGGAAGGAAGGAAGGAAGGGGAAAAGGCAAGACTTTAAATTTTATAAACACTCTTATTTACATATCCATCCCCCCATTCCCTCATCCTCCCATCCTCCCATGCTTCCCACCGACCACCCAACCTATCCCCCACCCACTTCCCAGGGATAGTGAGACCCTCCACGGGGGATCATCAAAGTCCATCACATCATTTGGGGGAAGGCCCAGGCCCTCCTTTCTGTATCTGGGCTGCAATAGTATCCCTCCATAGGGAATGGGTTCCCAAAGTCCATCTGTGACCTAGGAATAAAAACTGGCTCCACTGTTAGAGGTTCCATAGACTGCCTTGGCCTCCTAGCTGGCACCTACATTCAGAGGACTTGGTTCCGCCCAATGCTGGTTTCCCATGCTCTCATTAGGTCAGGTCAACTGTTTCTTTGGGTATCTCCAGCTCCATCTTGGTTCATTTCTTAACTCTCCTCTCTCTCCACAACTGAATTCTGGGAGTATGGCTTAGTGTTTAGCTATGGGTGCCTGTTTCTGCTTCAATCAGCTACTGGGTCAAGGCTCTAGGAACGGTAACCAAGGTAGTCATCAATTTTTTTGAGACAGGGTTTCTCTATGTAACCCTGGTTTCCCTGGAACTCGATTTGTAGACCAAGTTGACTGAGAACTCAAGAGATCCACCTGCTTCTGCCTTACTTAAATTGAACAGTGCAGTTTAAGAGGAAGTCATCTTCATAATAATCCACAGGTTAATTTCCATGAGATAATCGGGAGCAGGATATTTCCATGAGATAAACACACTACATCAAAGGCAGTGGGGATCTCCCCACACCCATTCACACCATGCCAGATACCAGAGAAAAATGGCAGAGACAAAATGTAACGGGACAGCAGTAGCAAGAGACAGTCTGGAGCACAAGCCCTGGGGCCTTGCCTATCTGCGATTCCCCCATCTTCCTGCTTCCTGATGGACTGACCTCCTGAACAACTGGCACCAGCTGTTCCTCTGACATGACCACAGAAATGGAGAAAATCTCCCAAGCAGTACTTCTAACAGGGGATTAGTATTTCAAATATACAACAAAAAAAAAACTTAAAAAAGCAAATAATCAGTAAATATGCTAATTCAAGAAACTATAAAATTAAACAACCAATAAATACATGAAAATGTACAATCTCACTAGTTATTGGAGAGATGCAAATTAAACCTACACTAAAATCCCAACCCATCCTAATCAGAGAGGTAGCCATTTATAAAATAAAGGAACAGGGCCTGGATATGACTCAGTTAGTAAAGTACTTGTGCAAAGGTGAGGTCCCATTTCAAACTAGAATGCAAGTAAAGCAGAATCCTCTAGACCCTAGAATCTGGAGCAGCCACAATCTCCTACAGGGAGATGGGAGGTGGAGGGAGGAAAATTGCCTGAAAGTTGAATGCCCAGGTAGCCTATGCATCTAGGAACAACAAAAAGAGACCCTATCTATAACAAGGTAGAAGGTGAAGACTGATACCCAATGTGCTTGATCTCTCTCTCTCTCTCTGTCCCTCCCTCCCTCCCTTCCTCCTTCCCCCCCCCTCACTCACACACAAATAAAACATAACAGATACTGGCTAGGATGTGGATAAAGACCATATATATATACATATATATACAAAGGTCTGGAGAGATGGCTCAGTGGTTAAGAACACTAACTGGTCTTCCAGAGGTCCTGAGTTCAATTCCCTGAAACTACATGGTGGTTCACAACCATCTATAATGAGATCTGGTGCCCTCTTCTGGTCTGCAGGCACACATGCAGATAGAACACTGTATACATAATAAATAAATAAATCTTTTTTTAAGTTCTCAAAAATAATTTTAAAAAATAAATACACACGAAAAGGGGTTTTTTCAGTCATAGAGAATAACAGTTATGTAGCTTGCAAGAAAATAGTCAAATGAAGACAATCATATTAAGTGAATTAAGCCAGTCTCAGAAAGATAAATTATCACCTTTTCTATCATTTGTGATTTCTAGATTTTATCTATGTAGATAAAATCATAATGTATATGTTAAATGAAAATACAAAGGAACAAAGGAGAATAACAAAAAGGTAGATAAAGGGAAAGGTATTGGGGGATGTGTTCAACCTACACTATATACTTAAATGGAAATGTCCTTAGATGACACATTTTATAAAATGTTTACACTCAATAAAAAAATCTTAAAAAGTGAAAACCACTTTATCTTTTTTCTGTTTTGAGTTTTTGCAAATTTGTTTTGTTTTGTTTGACACAGGGTTCCCTGTATCCCAGGCTAGCCTCCAATTTTCTATGAAACCGAGGATCCTCTTTTGTTTGCTTTGGTTTTCAAGACAGGATCTTTCTGTGTAGCTCTGGCTGTCCTGGAACTCACTCCATATGCCAGGCTGGCCTCAAACTCAGAGATCTGCTTGCCTCTGCCTCCTGAGTACTGGGATTAAAGGTGTCTCACCACTGCCTGACTTGGAACAGAGGACATTCTTAAACATCCAGTCCTTTTGGAATCACATCCTGTGATAGGATTACTGATGTGTGCCATCACACTTGACTTTATGTGGTGCTGATGAATGAACCCAGGGCTTAGGACAAGGTAGGCAGGAACTATATCCTTAGCGTTGTTTTCTCTGTTGTGTTTTCCCTTTTGTGTTTCTTTTTACTTTTCTTTTTACATTATGTGTGTGTGTGTGTGTGTGTGTGTGTGTGTGTGTGTGTGTGTGTGTGTGTGAACCTGAACCTGTCTAAGTGTAAGCCAATGTAAGTGCCCTCTCTTACTTACTGGGTCAAGATTATCTGATATAGTTGGTCCAGGAACTGAACAAAGCTTGGGTTTGAGGGGCCACAGCAAGCCTGAGGCTGTGATAATTTTTTAGAGCAATTAGACTTTTAATAAATGCCCTTATCAGAAACAGAATAGAGTGGCAATAGCCAGGATCAATAAAGTTGTAGCTGCCAGATTCCAAAGATGTTTCCAAGCTATACAGGATATACAAGATTAATGTCTAAGACCAACTGTCCAATCAAGTTTCCATGCTTCCTTGACTACTAAGTGAACATACAGAGGAATAGACAGCAGCCTGAGTGCTTCACTGCCTGAGGAAGTGCATCAGGAACTGAAAGACTCCGGAGCTGTGAACTCTAACCTGAAAAACCTTTGATGTGTGCCTCTCAAGGCAGCTACGCCAGGTCAACTTCAAATGCACATATGAGGTCAAAAAACAACTTTGCAGGAATCAGTTCTCAACTTCTACTATGTGGGTTTGCAGGATCCAACTCAGGTGTAGTCTTTGGCAACAACTCCCTTTCACTACTGAGCCCTCTCCCTGGCCCTATTCCTATTTTTGCTTTTTTGTTTTGCTTTGTTTTGGAGACAGGGTGTACCACAGGCTGGCATTTGTGACAAGCTTCTTGTCTCTGACTCCCAAATATTTAGGTTACAGTCCTGGACCACCACACCCAGCCTGTCTTAGTCAGGGGTTCGTTGCCTTGAAGAGACACCATGATCACAACAACCTTACAAAGTAAAGTATTTAATCGGGGCTGGCTTACAGTTTCAGATGATAATTTAGTCCATTATCATCATGGCAGGAAGCCTGGCTGTATGCAGGCAGGCATAGTGGTGGAGAGGTAGCTGAGAATTCTACATCTGGACACACAGGCAACAGGAAAAGAGAGCCGGGAGCCATTAGCCATTAGGCCTGGCTTGGTCCTTTGAAACCCCAAAGCTCACCACCAGTGACACACATCCTTCAACAAGGCCACATCTACTCCAACAAGGCCACACCTTCTAATCTTTCTCAAGTAATGCCACTTCTTGATGATTAAAAATTCAAATAAATGAGCCTATGGAGGCCATTTTTATTCAAACCATTACAGGACCTATATTTTTTTTTATTTTTTACTAAGGTAAATGCTGATCGATGTAACCTACTTAAAATATCACTGAGGATCTATTTTGTAAAGCCATATATAGGTCCTAAAACTAAAACACTGACAATTTCTGACTGCCACAGCTCCTAGTGGGCCCTCAGGAGACACTGTGATATAGGTACAGGAGGAAGGTGGTGATGGTAAGGTCCGTGGTCTCAGGTTTTGTCTTTCAGAGTGGGGAAGCCAAGGGTTGGGGATTTCCATCAGCCCTGGATTTCATTTCTCCAGCTCATTTCCTCCAGCGGCCAGGTTCTTCTGCCTTTAAAAAAAAGTATTGTTTCTCCCACTTTATGCCCAAATTCTGGAGAAAGACAGTCACTGCGGTCTCTTCGCACATAGGCAGTGCTATAAAATCCACAGAGAGGAACAAGGACCCAATTTCTCTATGGTCTTTGAAACACCAAGGATGGGAACCCCCGCTCCCCGAGGCTTCCTCCTGCTGCTTCTGGCTGCCCTAGCTCCAACTCTGACCCAAACCCGTGAGTACAGGGTCCAGAAGGAAATGACCTCTGCTGGGAGCAGCGTGAGGAAGCCTGGGAGTGGACAGAAGATGTGCGCCACTAGGGAAGTGCGACCCTCCCTGCTCCTGTGCCCTATGTCCCTAGGGTCTCCATTCCCACACCTTGCTCCCTTCTCTACACTGGGTCCCTGGAGAAGGAAGGAGGGTTGGGTTCTTATCATGCACCCTGTTCTCAGGCTCACACACGCTAAGCTATCTTGGCACAGCCGTATCCCGGCCTGGCCTCGGGGAACCCCAATACATCTTCGTTGGCTACGTGGACGACACGCAGTTTGTGAACTTCGACAGTGATGTGCAGAGTCAGAGACTGGAGCCACGGGCGCCATGGGTGGAGAAGATGCCACCAGAGCATTGGGAGCAATGGACACTGAAAGTCAAGAACAGACAACATAATGTACCAGTTCTCCTACAGGCCGTGGTCCAAGAACACAACCAGAGCCAGGAAGGTGAGAAACCCTGAGTCGGAGGTCATGGCCCATCCTGGTCCCCGTCCCCGTTCTAATTTCTCAAGACCCCCAGGACCTAGATTTAGCCTTGAGGTTGCAGGACCCACGGAGATCCTCAGCTCTGGAGTTGGGGATTGTGGCTAGGTTTCTGTGGTTCAGGTTAGATCAAAATCCCATTCCGCGGGGCGGGGCTAGGTGAGCAGAGCTAACTGCGGGGGCGGGGCCAGTCTCTCACACTATGCAGTGCTTGGAGAGCTGCACCATTGGGTCGGACCGGAGTTTCCTCCGAGGGTACAGTCGGCATGCCTATGATGGCCAAGATTACATGGCCCTGAGTGAAGACCTGAAAACGTGGAGGGTGGCTGACTCTGCGCCTCAGATCACCGGAAAAATATGGAAGGAGACTCTTCAGGCAGAGTTCTTTGGGGCTTTCCTTGAGGTGGAGTGCGTGGAGACCCTCCTCAGGTACCTGGAGGCAGGCAAGGAGACACTGCTGCGCACAGGTACAAAGGGGCCATAGGGCCCATGGGGCACTGCCCTGGGACTTGAGCTCGTCTCTCGAGGAAAGAGGAAAACGGGATCAGCTAGAATATTCCCTATCACCTTGTCATTGGGAAGGGGAAGTGCTTCTGGGTTCCCAATGTCTTTGGAGTCTGACTCTGGCGGTGCTGACTCTTTCAGCCCCCACCTAGTTAGGATCCCAAACTATGTTTGCCAGTGGAAGACCTGGAGTCTACTGGACTGCTGTAACCTCATTCTAGAATTTGCCAAGGAACAAACTTCCAGATGTCTGAGTCTGGGCTACTTGCCCCAATGTGTACTCTTCCACCCCAGTTCTCCTGTGCGTTGCCAGGATGGTCACATGAGTAAAACTGCGTTATCTTAGCAAGAACACAAAATGCATGACTTTCCAATTCTTCTCCTCAGATGCCCCAAAGGCACGTGTGACCCATCACCCCAGACCTGAAGGTGATGTCACCCTGAGGTGCTGGGCTCTGGGATTCTACCCTTCAGAGATTATGTTGACCTGGCAGAGAGATGGGGAGGACCAGACCCAGGACATGGAGATGGTGGAGACCAGACCTGCAGGGGATGGAACCTTCCAGAAGTGGGCAGCTGTGGTGGTGCCTTCTGGGGAGGAGCAGAGATACACATGCCATGTGTATCATGAGGGACTGCCCAAGCCTCTCACTCTGAAATGGGGTAAGGAGATGGGCATAGAATCTGTTGCCAGAGAAACTAGAATCAAATCTGAAGACCTGAACGAGGTCAAATGCTGACATCAGGTCTTCACTCTTCCTTGCTTTCCTAGAGACACCCCAGGCCACCATCCCCATTGAGGGAATCACTGCTGGTCTGATTCTCCTTGGAGTTGTGGTCACTGGAGCTGTGGTTGCCATTGTGATGAGGAAGAAGATGAACAGAGGTAGGGAAGGGGCTGTTTTCTGAGGGTTTTTGTCTCTCTGGCAAATTCCAATCCCTAGCTAAATGTGCCTATTTCATATCTTGCTACTCTGAGGCACACATGTGCATTGTGCTTGCCCAATCTGGGATTGTGTGTAATAACACTACCTTTTTGTAAAGCACGTGTGAAAAGAAAGGACAGAGATTCCATATTGATGATTCTGGAGACTCTTATCAGTTAAGAATCAGAGAGATGCCAGCTAAAGGGAGAGATTCGTGAAGACATTTAGTTTTCTTCCTGCCCATATATCTCTTCTTGTTTCTTGATCCTGCTGTACATCTGTAGGCAGACTTAGAAACTTGCCTAAAGACCCTTCTCCACCATGTGTGCTGCTCTTACCTCTGATACCAATAACCACAAATATTGTTCCAAAGTGCCCAGGTCTGTTTCCAGACCCATAATTTTGATTGTGGATCATGGAGCCCAGAACTCATGTTGCTGATGTTGCTGATGTTGTTGCACAGGATCTCACACTGTATCCCAGGCAGGCTTTGAACTGAGAAGCTGTGACGGTTAACCTTCACCATCAACTTGACTGGATTTAGCATCTCATAGGAAATGCATCTGGAATGTACTGGAGGGGTTTCCAGACAGAATGAACTGAAGACGGAAAACCCACCCTGAATTTGGTTGGTACCATCCATAGCCAGGGATCCTAGACTGAATTAAACAAGAAAATTGAGAAAGCCAGATAAGAGCCAGTATTCTACCTGATTTTTATTCAATGGAGATGTGAGAAGTCCAGCCACATATCCCTAATGCCATGAGCTCTATCATACTTCTCTGCCAAGATGGTCTGTATTTTCTTAAGTTACGAACCAAAATAAATCCTTAAGTTGCTTCTGTCAGGATTTTGTCACAACAGTGAGGAAAATAACTAGTACAGAAACCCAGCCTGGCCTTGAAATCCAAGAAATCTTTCTACCTCAGCTTCTATAGCATGGGGATTGTAGGTTTAGACTATTACATCTGGCTCCAGAAATCTTTTCTGTAACAAGACATAATGGATGCATAGCATAGTAGTTCCTTGTATACACCAGTCTTTCTATGTGATCTGAAGACCACCAGCCTCTGTCCCTAGCCTGTTATAAATTCTGAATTTCAGCTCTGCATCAGACTTCCTGAATATTGAAATATCCAGAGGACTCCTGTGCATGGTAGAGTCTGATGCTTTCTAGTTTATGGGCCTTCTAGAAAATGGCATATTCATATATCTGGAAGAGTTTTTCCCAGTGTTTTCTTCTGTTTCAGAATTTTGTTACATTAAATCCTTGATCTATTTTGAGTTGTTTTTTTAAAACCAGGTAATAGCAATGAATGCTATGTTTCTACACCATTTGTTTTTGCAATGTATCTTTTGGAACCATTGTTGAAAGCCAAGTAGCTATAACACAGATTATTTCTGCATCCTCTGCCTGCTTCTGTGCCTATGCTGTGCTGATTGTTAATTTGAGACAGGCACTGTAATACTTCCAGCATTGCTCTTCCTGCCAAGAATTACTTTGGCTACCCAAGGTCTTTTGTTCTTCCATATGAATCTTAGCATTGCTTTTTCCAGTTCTTTGAAAAGTGTCATTGGGATTTTTGTGGTGATTACACTGAATTTCTAGATTTCTTTCAGTATTACAGCCATATTCAGAATACTAATTCTGTATATTCATGAATATCTTCTAGTATGTATCTGAGTGTTCACAAAGGATCTTATAGTCTCCCTTTCTTCTTCTTCTTCTTCTTCTTCTTCTTCTTCTTCTTCTTCTTCTTCTTCTTCTTCTTCTTCTTCTTCTCCTCCTCCTCCTCCTCCTTCTCCTCCTTCTCCTTCTTCTTCTGTTGTTTTTTAAGACAGAGTTTCTCTGTGTAGCTCTGTACACCAGGCTGGCCTTGAACTCACAGAGATGCACCTGCCTCTGTCTCTGCAGTGCTGGGATTAAAGGCGTGCGCTACCACCACTGGCCCTCCATTTCTTAATTGTTTTTTGTTTGTTTAGTTGATTCAATAGTTATGTAGGCCAGACTGGCCCCAGGGTTTGGCTTCCTGAACACTGGATTACAGATGAGCCCCATGTCCAGGCTTCTTTGGAGCTTTACAGCTTTGCCTATAGATGTCTTTAACCCCTTCATTTAGGTTATTCCTAGGCATATAGTACTTTACCTATAGAGGTCTTTAACCCCTTTATTTAGGGGTTGATGAAATTATCTTACATACTTTTTAATATAAGATCATGTCATCTACAAATAAAGATTATTTGATGTCTTCCTTTACTGGGGTCCCATCTTACTGCTCTGGCTAAGATTTAAGGAACTAACTTAAATAAGAGTAGAAAAAATAAACCAGGTGTGGTGGCACACACCTCTGATCTAGCACTTGGAAGGCAGGTGGATCTCTGTAAGTTCAAGACCAGCCTGGTCTAAATAGTGAATTCTAGGCCAACCAGGGCTACATGAGAGAGCTTATTTTAAAAAAAGGGGGGGGGGAGACAAACACTCTTTACCTCATCCTGATTTTTAAGAGGAAATGTTTTCATGCTCCACTCCCACTTAGGTTAATGTTAGCTATGTCTCAGTTCCTACGACCATGAGCAATATGTGTTTTCCATGGTCTTAGGTGATTCCCAAAGTGCACATGACCCACAGGTTGAGAGCCACTACAGTGGAGACTAGAAATGAGGCAGAAGTCAAGTCCAGCTATCACTTTCCCAAGCATTCCTGCAGCTGGGTATGACCACATGCTGGGCCTTGCTTCAGCACCTGGGGATAAGGAAAAGTGGGAATTGCATAGAGAGCATTTGACATTGCCTCACTGAGATTCCAGAACAGCATAGAAGCTGTCTCAACCACAGCGACCAGCTGCAGAGTGGCCAGTGGCTCCTGTGCCCAGTGGATACTCTATGGGACCTGATATTGATGTATTTGTGGTTTCAGCTCATGACTGTGATATCATAACCTCCAATTCCACATATAAAGTCTTCTTATATTTAAATAAGAATTCTCCTGATGGTGGTGGCACACGCCTTTAAAGCCTCCAAAGCCACAGAGAAACTCTGTCTGGAAAAAGCAAAAAAAAATTTTTTAGTTCTACTATTTGTATGTAAAGCAAGAAATCATTTTAGTTGTAACGTTTTCTTTCTCAGCATGTTGCTTTGTTTGTATATCAGAAAACTGCTAGTGTTTGCTATGCTGATTTTGTATGCTTTGCAGAAATTGTTTATAAGATCTAACACTTTACTGGTGGAACCTTAAGGGTCTTTTAAGTATATGGCTCTTGTGTTGTCTGTAGATCAGAATAAGGTCATCTTTCTCCTGCCTTGCTGTTCTGGCACAGACTACGTGGAAGAGTGGAGAGAGTGGGCACTCCTGCCTCATTCTGGTTTACAGGAAATGCTTTGAGTTTTTCTTCACTTACTAAGGATGGTGGCGATAGTTCTGTCATGCAAAGCCTGTTGTAGGTTTTGGTATATTCCTTTCTTTCTTTTTTTGGGGGGGGGGCTTGTGTAGATAGACAACTTTGTTAAGAGCCTGTTCTGAATTTGAGATATCTGTGTGTTTCTATTTACCTGATGTATTACATTTACTGTTAGCATATGTTGAACCATCCTTGTGTTCCTAGAATGAAGCCAACTTGACCATGGTATATGACTTCTAAAAATATATGTTAAGCTTGGTTTATAGGTATTTTTGTATCCATATTCACCAGAGGAATTGAGCTATAATTTTTAGTGTTAAGCAGTTTGGCTAGCTTCATAAAATAAGTTTGGTAATGTTCCTTCTCTATCTTATGGAATAATTTGAGGAGCATCTAGTGCTGTGGAACATTAGTTTAAGATGTGTTACATTTGTTTATACTGTGGAATATTTGTTTAATGATGCAAAGATGTGTTGCATTCTTTTATATTATATTTATTTAACTCTGTAAAGCTGTTTGTTCCTTTGTCTGTCTAAAAAACCTGATTGGTCTAATAAAGAGCTGAAATGGCCAATAGTTAGGCAGAAGAGGGATAGGGGGCTGGAAGCCAGAGAGAATAAATAGAACTCCAGGTTCAGGAGAAGAGGGAAGAGTGAGAAAAGGAAGAGAGGATGACAACAAAGGCCAGCCACACAGCCACACAGCCACACAGCCACACAGCCAGCCACAGTGGGAAAGAAAGAATAAAGAAAGGTAAAAAGCCCAGAGGCAAAACATAGTTAAAGAGAAATGGGGTAATTTAAGTTGGAAAAGCTAGCTAGAAACAAGCCAAGCTAAGGGTGGGCATTCATAAGTAAGAATAAGTCTCTGTGTATTTACTTGGGAGCAGGGTGGTAGGCTCCCAAAAGAGAAAAAACAAAACAAAACAACACATTAGCCTTAGTCAATCTGTATGTGTCTGGTGGAATTCAGCAGTGAGTTCTGTCTGGTCCTGGGTGGTTTTTTTTTTTTAATTTGGAAGATTCTGTATCACTGCTTCTACAGATAGACTCAGTTATTTCCATAAAGACATTGTCTCCAGCACTCTTTCAGTCTCTTTAAGGGATTAGTGAACCTCAGAATTAGAGGAAACTAGCTGGGCGGTGGTGGCGCACGCCTTTTAATCCCAGCACTCGGGAGGCAGAGGCAGTCGGATCTCTGTGAGTTCGAGGCTGGGCTGGACCGACAGCCTCGAAAACAATACAAAGAAACCCTGTCTCGTAAAAACCAAAAAAAAAAAAAAAAAAGAATTAGAGGAAACTAGACTGACACTAATGTAAGATGAGCAGTAACTTCTCACACCATCAAGTAGTGTCAAATACAGAAAGCTGATGGAGTGTTGTCAACCAGAAGGCAGGGACAGTACTACATATGGTGGGCAGTGCCATTTGTGGCAATTTTAATTCAACCAAATGAGAACCACACACAATAAATTCAGTTCCTCAGGGGCACTAGCCAGGTTCTGAATAGTCAGTGGCCACATGCAGAAAGTAGCTACTCTTCTGAAGAACACAGACACAAGACATTTGTAGTAGTGCAAGAAGTTCTATTGTACAGCATAAAGCCAGTGACATCCCGCAGTGCAGACCCTGGGTTATCAAAAGTGTCACAGACTGAGTGTACATCCTTAGGACACCCAGGTTTTACTTCTCTGGTTCTCTACTCAGCAACTATGAATCCCTACTTTCTCAAATCTTTGGTGTTGTCAAGAAGATCAACTGTCCAGTCGTCTCAGTAGGTAAAGGCATTTCCTGCTAAGTTTGGAGACTTGAGTTCAATCTCTGGGACTCAAATGGTGAAAAGATAATACTGTCTCCCACAAACTGTCCTCTAACACACACACACACCCATGCATAGGCACACACTCACCAAATAAATTCAATAACAAAGAAGACGAATTGATAGGGCTGGGGATATGGCTGAGTGGTTAAAAGTACTGGATACTCTTCCAGAGGACCCAAGTTCAATTTCCAGCACCTGATGATGGCTCATTACTGTCTGTAAACTTCAGTTCCAGGGGATCTGATGTTCTCTTCTGCCCTCCCTGGATACCAAGCATGCACATGGTGCACAGACATA